GGGCTCGCGTGTCAAATTGAAACGTTACGGAAAACGACAGCGTATCGTCGAGAAAGAGCAAGAGAGAAAGAGAGTGTGTGTGTGTGTGTATGTGTAAGAGAGAGAGAGAGAGAGAGAGAGAGAGAGAGAGAGAGAGAGAGAGAGAGCGAATATATTCCATTAAATAATCTTCAGAAAGTTTTAAGCATTAATCGTTATCTATTTAACAATTAATAACAAAAGAAGTTTAAATTGTTATAGCTAAAATAAATTTCTGATTATTGATGTTTAAATCTTTCGTTTTACTAAATTGATTGAATCTATCATATACTAAAACTAGATATGATATAGATATACCATATACTAAAACTAGATATGGTATAGATTAACATAAGAAATTTACAAAAATATTTTTTAGAAGATTTTATAAAAATCTAATCTTATCCTATACAAATATACAGTTTTTAATAATATAAATGTATATCTCTCTGCTTATAACTGTAGATATGGTATAGATTAACATAAGAAATTTACAAAAATATTTTTTAGAAGATTTTATAAAAATCTAATCTTATCCTATACAAATATACAGTTTTTAATAATATAAATGTATATCTCTCTGCTTATAACTGTAGATATGGTATAGATTAACATAAGAAATTAAAAAAAATATTTTTTAGAAGATTTTATAAAAATCTAATCTTATCCTATACAAATATATAGTTTTTAATAATATAAATGTATATCTCTCTATTTATAACTGTAGATATGGTATAGATTAACATAAGAAATTAAAAAAAATATTTTTTAGAAGATTTTATAAAAATCTAATCTCACTCTATACAAATATATAGTTTTTAATAATATAAATGTATATCTCTCTGCTTATAACTAACATAACGCTCACGCATTCGATAACAATACTTCAGGATAAGATCAGGTCAGCTTTTTAGGAGGATGAGAGCGAAGCCCTCTACACCTTCCTCAAAAATGTACTTTTTAATTTTTTTATTATTACCAAGATTTAGAAATTCGCATAGTAACATGTTGAAAGCTATTTACGAATTGTAACAAATAGGCAAAATTTCTTACGTTTTTCAAACTTCTTTTGTTCATAACTTTTTAATAAATAACTGACGGCTACAACCTTCAGGAGATATTTCTCACAATTCGTGAACAGCTTTTAACATAATACCATACGAATTTTTAAATCTTGCGAATAATAAATAACGACCGACGGCTACAACTTTACTCAGAACATTAACCTCGATAACATACGTCACACTTAAGATTATCGGAGGATAAGAAATCCATTAATATAAATAATTGCCAAACTCTTTTGTTAAATAACCTTCCATGAATAATGAGTGACACGTAAAACATTTTGAAGGTTATTCAAAACGGTGATTTCTATGATATACAGAATCTGTCAACGAAAACTTTCCACTCCAATTATTCTGTAATTAATTGATTTTTATAAAAAATGCCGATTCACGTCAATATTGTCTTTAAGGAGACTGTACGATTGTAATAAATATAATTATATCTCTTCATTTCTTTAATTAGAGTAGCTACTGCCCAAAAAATCTTAAATAGTAACAGGAGTCAAGTAATATATCATTTTAACAATATTTTAATTCTCTTCATAACGGTGTTTATTTTTAAGATTTGACTAAAAACTTTTTGAAAAATCGCATTTGGAAATTTTGGGTACAAAAAATTAAAAATTCACAATTTAGAGAAAAATTTATTCTATTAAGAGAATGTTTAGAGTGCCGTCCACCAATCTCCAATTATAAAGTCTTTGTTCAAAATTGCTACGAACGTATCTAAACATTTCTGGTTATCCTATGGAATCGGAGTGGAAAATTTTCGTTAGCGGAGCCTAACGAAATGTCAAACTCAAAATCATAGGAGGTGGGTTCTTTTTTGTAAAGGTTTACCCTCATTTTTGCACGAGTAAAATAATCGTGATAATATACGACATACGAAGTGATAACAAGTGAAACTCTGCTTGATTGTTACATCTCCGGTTGCTTACTCGGGACACAGAAATTCACATTTTTCCAGCCTTGTCTGCGTTCTACTTCTTCCACCTTTATCCAAGGGTCTGCGGATATTTTCCAAGCGTTCGACACGATCGTTCGACTTAACCAAAGCTTCTCTAAGGATATCCCAGGACAATTCGCGAATTTTATCCGTACGAGCAACGACCGGGACACCGAGGGGGAAGTACGTTTCACCCTCGTGATGTAGGTTGGACGCATCGCCGCCCCGATACAAAACCGATGCGATGCCGCGTCGACAGCGCAAAGGGAAGCCAACGCGGCGCGGTTCCGCGATTTGCATGAATTTCATTTCATTTGCTCGACAGGCCCGTAAAGCCGAGCGCTGTAAATATATATGTATATCGGAAGATCCAGCCGCTCGGCAGTAAAGATCAGAGGGCGTTTATACGACCGGCTTCCAGGTCTCGAGGGCTCCGGTGATCGCCCCGTGCGGCTCACGTCGGCATAGTACGAGTTTAAAAGCCGACACGAAGAGAGCCGGGGAACTTGGTAGCCGAGTACATCCGGAGGGTAATAGCGTAGGTTCGGCGCGGAAAGGTCGAATGAAATTAGCGGATTAGGACTTAGCCCTTAATCCTCGGGAAACCGTCCGTGGAACTCGCGCGGACCCGAAACTCCACTCCTCGCAGTCGGCTTCTTCGATTCTCGCCACGTGGAATATGAGAAATATTGAGTCGGACAATTATATGGGGTAAGACACGCGGCTCTTGAGTGTGTGCCATTTGTATTTCGTGACACGATTTCTGCGCATCCCAGCAATCTATTATTGAAGAATGTCAACGCGCGCGCTAAATTATTTATTTATTTATACCGGGCAATTTTCCTTTGAGGAAAAAATACAAATACAATTTTCCTTTGAGGAAAGAATACAAATACAATAAAATTAAATATGTACATAAATAAAAACGAAAGTAAAAATGCAGTAGTGAAAAGTAAATCTTAAGATTTTGCTATTACATTTTTACTTTTGTTTTTATTTATGTATTCTGATCTGGAAATGTCAACAACATACATCCTAATAATTTATTTATTTATTATCGAATAATATTCCCTCTTTCTTTTTAAGAAAAGATAGAAATAAAAAGAAACAAAATAAAATACAATTTTTATACGTAGAGATTTTTATAAGTAGAAATAAAAATAGAAATGTAAAAATAAAAAATAAATCTTAGGATTTACTTTCTTCGTATTCTGTAATATTCTGATCTGGAAAATATTAATACATCTTAATAATTTATCATCAGTGCGTGTTAATAATTTATTCATATATTATTAGGTAATATCTCTTTCCCTCTCTCTTTAAGAAGAGTAAAAATACAAATAAAACATAAATGACGTTTCATATGATATGCATTAAATGATATTTTTCATTAGATTTCTTAACGACCAGGTCACTTCCCGTGGTGATAGTGGCGACAGATAAACATAAACTATTTTGAAGTACTAACTATTTTAAAGTAATTATTATCTGTTCAGCAACGGATATCAGATTTTTAGTAGTCTATTATAGACTAGATAAGGTAATAAATGTAAAGAGAGTCAGAGAAAGAGAGAGAGAGAGAGAGAGAGAGAGAGAGAGAGAGAGAGAGAGAGAGAGAGAGAG